GTTAAACACGCGATAAAGTCCACACAGATTCCACTTTAACTTATCCATTTCGAAAATTTACATTTTGCTGAAGTTGATCAAGAATAATAATCGTTTATGTTGAAACTAACTTTTTGTTGAGAAACAGGGTTCAAAAAGCAGGAAAAGCAGTAATTCACCATAGAACTGCCCGCCACTGAATCCATCCACAGATAACTCCCTAACGGGGTGAAATCAGTGCCCGACCCATATTAACCATGTAATGATCTAATCGCATCACAGTTTATAACAGCCAGTTATATAAAAACAAATAATTTATTTTTGTACTATAAGCTGGGAAAAACGTCCTTCAATCGTGCATGTTTGGAAAGCTATAAAGACGCCAACCAGCTGATCAGAGCACAGAGCAGCAGAGAATAAAGGAGTGCATAAATAACTGTGCGTTAAAGAAAGAAAACTGCTTATATATTTAAAAATATATTTTTTTAAACCCTTAATACTAACAGCTAATAGCTGAGAATGCCACTACCTCTAATTAGAAATTACAGTCTATAATCAGTCGTCTTAAAATAACAGCAGTGAGGATCTCACCTGTTCCATCTAGGAGAGAAGGCACTGCACAGCTCCCACCATTTATAATGTGTGACAGTCCTGCCATCTAGCCAAAAATCTAAATACACAAACCTGCTCAGGGACAAAATAATAAACATCAGGCTGAAAAAAAAAACAAAAACAAAAAAACAAAAACAAGTGCAAACAGCCTGTGAGTCTCATGTTAACAGTGTTAATCCTCAAACAGGAAACGCTAACATTATTAAGGTAACGCCACAGTCCAAGGACAAGCATCACGCCGACTGGTTCAGGACATATCTGTGGCTCGAGCCTTTAATGGCCGAGCGAGCTGCTTGGTTGGTAAAATACACGGCGGTGTGTTACCTCACCACCGTGTATTTTACCAACCAAGCAGCTCGAAGCCAGAACGAACAGAGCAGAAATGAAGATGAGAGAAAAGTAAGTTAAAGCCATGTTATAGCTGGAGGAGAACAGCGATCTGAGGTCAGCTCACAGGTTACGTTCCCACCAGTGAACTGATCCCCCTGGGTGGGGGGCCAGGGGGAGGCGAGGAGCATTTAAGGGGGTGACTGTGGAATAATCACACAGCCAGTCATGTACACTGGGCACTTTAAAATGTTTGTGTGAGACAGACTGGGTGGGAGTAGTTGCAGTACAGGACTTTTCTGGAAAGGGTCGTGTAAGGGGTGTGGGGATGCTGGGAAGGATATGTAGTGACTGACACCATCCAGCCAGGAAGCACATGAGTAATGGTTTTCAAAAGACTGTCTCTGCCCATCAACACTAAAAACAAGCTCTGTTTTCAAGCTAGAACTGGCTCAGCACCATTTCCAGAACCTTTTCCAAAACGCTGGACTTGTGCAGACGCAGCAAAAGCTGCACAGAAACCGAACGTGCAGCCTCCGTGTGGAGTAAGATGCTATCCCCAAGCCAGCGTCTTATTGCACAGCTGAGACTGCTTCAAAGTAATGATTATTTAAGCAGCAGCAGGCTTTGATAATTACACTTCACAGTCAGATGCTTTAAACTCATTCTGGCAGTCGGTGTTTTACTGTACGACTGCCTCCAACAGGAACACATCAATCAAAGTCTCCCGCCTTCGACGCATTTCCTCCAGTAACACGTTTCACGCTCAGATCTCCAACACCCCACGGCTGAGAGGACAAAGTGCGAACAGCTCGCTAAATGACTAATCACATGATTGCAGGTCACAACCACTTAGCAGCCTCTGGTCTCAGAGCATTGTTGGTGACCCTATTTAAACATAAACTGCACAAACAGATGATGTGCAGCCTGAAAAAACAAAATAATCCATAAATTTTCAACAATGTGTGTCAGTTTGATCCAGAGTCACTCCCAGTACAGAGACACGCTCCTGTCATAAATCAAAGCAGCTCCGGGGCGCGGCGGCTTGGTGTTACCATAACAGAGCATGCAAACTGCTGTCAGGGAGCAGCTTTAAATGTGGATGTTTGCAGTGCGTCTTTGTACTAGAAGAAAGATGAAATGCTTTTAAAGTTTGTTTGGGTTTTTTTAATATTTGATTACGCAACTGTTTTAGTGGTCACTACACATACAGCTCATGAAATAGAAGGGCGATCTCAGAAACACAAATATAACGTTGTCTGTGCTTTGTGATGAAATTTGTCAATTTGCTTGCTAGTCAATATAAAATGAGAGTATCTGTGACTATAATGTCACCGCCCATCAGTTAGGAAAGTCCTGTTGTGCAGCCTCACGAGTGTTTTCAACATCATCTTCTTGAGGTTTTGAAATCATATGACAGAGCAGGGAAGTGTTTCAAACCGGGCAACCGTGGCCAAGGAGGTTGGGAAGCGCATCTGTAACCGGAAGGTCGCCGGTTCGATCCCCGGGATCGCTCTCTGTCCTGGTTGTTGTGTCCGTGGGCAAGACACTTTACCCTACCGCCTACTGGTGTTGGCCAGAGGGCTGCGATATGGCAGCCCTCTGGTCTGCCCCAGCTACAACTGTAGCTGCCTCCACCAGTGTGTGAATGTGAGAGTGAATGAATAGTGGCATTGTAAAGCGCTTTAGGTGCCTTGAAAAGCGCTATATAAAGCCAATCCATTATTAAATAAGACTGGGGAAGTGTGGCCCAGATAGGAACTAAACTGGTTTGGGAAGAGTCATTACATCCCCCATTTACCAGTAATACCTTGCATACCTCACATAGTAAAAATGATGGATAATCTGCAAATAATGCAGATTACAGCCTCAATAAAATAGTGCTTTTTATTTTAATTGTGCAATTCTTCCGTTAAATCATGAGCATAAAGAGAAACTCGGGCTTGTTTTTACACTCGTGTAGCTCCCGTTTCTTCTATCTCAATACGACTTAAAGTGTGTAGTTTATCACATAAATCCATAAATCAGCACATCTCCAGAGGCGTGCTTTTCCTGCAAGACTCGAGATTGTGAAATAATAAAACATCCACGAGCAAAAATACAGGCAAAACAAGTTACTTTCCAAAGGTTTTGTTCACTTCCAAGTACTTTTTCATTCTTTGTCACTCAGTTTTATTAATTTTTTTAAATCCAGTATTTGGACTTGTCTTTAACACACACACACACACACACACACACACACACACACGATTGTCTTTCATTTCAGGAATAAATCCTAGTTTGCTTTTTTTGTGGAAGCTACTGTTCTGCCTGTGATGGTGATACTGTACATGCACACCGCCTCCTCACTTTTACAGTCTCTCTCTCTTTCTGCTCTTTACAACTTGGTGGCCACACACAGAAAACAGCACTGTGTATTTTTATCCTTAGAGAAACAATGGTGAAACTTGTAGCTTCTGTCTCAGATCTCCTATAAACGGCTGCTTGGTTTGTGATAGACCAACGCATCCTAAACTTTGAATATGTTGCAGAAGCACCTGAACGCGCTTATTTCGAACACTGAATTTAAAGACAAAGGATCAGGCAGGACGTGGCTGTTTGTCAGCTGATGTTATATTTATTGCATTTTCAGCATTTTCTTTTCATTTGATTTTAGTTAAAAGTAATTAAAATACAACCAACTGTTGAGCATAGGTCAGAATTCAGAAGGTTGAACTAAGTGACTTTCAAACTTTATGCTGAAGAGACACCAAAAAACAACTGCAACGACATCCAAGACAATTTCGTCTCGTCGGCCGAGGGCACTTTTGAGCGCACCGCCTACGATGACTTTGTCTTGCAGTAAGCTCCAGTAGCATATAACCTGCACATTTACACACACACACACACACACGCACACACACACACACACTCCCTCTTACTTCCTGTGGTCCACATCTAATGTTGGGTCACAGGACACAAAGTTGCTCTCAGAGAGCTCCGACTCTTTAGCTTGCATCAGTTCACTCAGCCCAGTAAATGAAACCCTCAAGCAGAAGTCTGACCTGACAGTTGTGTGTGTGTGTGGGTGATTTTGGTCTGAGTTTTCTCTACGGAGTCAAGTGGCCAGCTTCATCCTCATTATGGCCTTTCATGCACTTTTTGTGCAGTTGCAATCATTTGGGAATCACTGCTGGACCTCATCAAGCATGAAGGATACCATCTCAGTACATGACGGGGACAGAGGATACAGGCTGTGAAGTCCCACATAAAGCTGGACACCTGGTCAATCTAGTCTGCAGCCATCTGAATGTAATTTACCTGCATGAAACGTCACAAAACTGTTGAGAAAAAGTCAGAAAAGCATCCAGCACTGTGCCCACCATCATCATCCTCATGAGGAGCAGAGGGAGGTGGAGAAGGAGAGAGGAGAAGGGTTTGGCCTTTCTCTGAAGTTCTGATGAAAAGATAAAGAGGGATCTGTCTCCAGACAGCCTAATGAACTGATGATTTCACTTTGCTATTAATAGTGGTGTGTGTGTGTGTGTGTGTGTGCAGGCTGACTGGTGCTTCTGAATGATCTCATCCTATGATTTGATGTATGAAGAATCTCTCTGTTCTCTCTGTCCAGCGGTTAAATCTGCACACGATTTCTGCCTCACAGCCGGACACCACTGTGTGTGTGTGTGTGTGTGTGTGTGTGTGTGTGTGTGTGTGTGTACAGCTGCTGGAAATAAAGAAATAGAGTAAGAGAAAAGGCAAACACTGTGTTTATGCTGGAAACGTCTGACACACGGAGCCAGGGCCTGCCTGAGTGCGAGGACGCCGACAGTAACCGCCCCTGAATAACGGATTTCGGCTGCTTCATCCTTTTCTTCAAGTTTGCACTGAAAAAGGAAATTCCGCAAATGTGATGCGGTAGGTCGTACGCTCATTTACAGCGAGCTAATCCCCGCCGACCGCCTGCCGTGCTGTCATTACTCGAAGTAATCCTGTGGCTGTTAGCTAGGCTACAGTAAGTTGTTGGCTTTCGCGTTAACGGCAGAATTCACCCGCGGGAACACCGACGCCCGCATTCACGACCTCTAGAGTCTCACACTCACCTACAACGAGCTTCCCTCTGGCGCAACGGCGACGTGTCCTCACACCGACATGTTTCTCCTCATCCTCCAGCTCGACTTCAAACCACCGCCGCCCTTTCGCCTCAGACGAGAGTGAACTGCCCACATCTACGAAACAATACGCCGAGTAGCTAATCTTTGTATTGCAACAGCTGATGCTAAAAATAGATGCGCCCCCGAAGGGGTGGACAATGGTTTTACTGTTGAGACGCGAAAAGACTAAATGTTGTTTTTCAGTGTGATATTAAATGTGTGTTCATGATTATTACAAAAATATAAGCCCTCTGTCTTTTCCCAGGATGTGTTTCTGGTGTTAAAATGTATAAAAACCACGAGGCAGTGACGGAGTACCCCCTTTTTTACTGAAATGGACTGTTCCCTTCTTCAGCGGAATCGTTTAAAGGGCTAGTCCTGTCAAACTGACCGTTCCTAATTTAGGGGAAGTCAAACGGATTAATTAGAGGACTGAGTGTTGATGTTGAAGCTTGTTCGGGATTGTTGGGGATCTAATTCGCTTATACGTCCACGTATGTGGGCCTATATAATATAGTTATATAGAGTATAATATAATTTCATGTATATATAAAGTATTAATAAGCATTAATCATGAAGCACAATTCTTTGGACAATGTGAATCACGATATAATTTTTGGACATCTAATTGTATTTTCGTAAGGTTTGCAGCTTTTCCTACTCATGAAGACCTCCCCCGTTCCCATTCATACTACACTAAAATAGAAATACACGACCAATGAAATGACAGAAAGTTCCCGTTTGTCACTATCTGCTGTAGAAAATTCTGATTTTCACAGCAGATTCACAATAACACTAACAAGGTTTCTTTACATTTTACAATTTGCATTTATTTCTTACAATTTAAGCCCAAAGAGTCACAGACTTCTTTTATTTACTACAGCAGTATTTCTCTATTAAGCAAAAAGAACCGAGATGCACTATTTAAATTACACTTTTTTCTTATATTAAAATATATCAGGGTTTAAATGTGAAATTAAACTTCTTTACACTGACAGAAAGCTGAGTTTTAATTAGTTAAACACCGTGTAAAATGAGTTTGTCATCCCTGCCATGTCGCTTTGAGCAAAGACACAACTCATCCCTTCTTGTTTACCCACTTTGTGTCGAAAAGTATTTCATAATGTACAGAAAATATAACACACGATTATATTAAATACTTAAAAAACTTATAATATAATATGCATACATATTATATGATGTCCTATACAATACTGAAGGTAGTGTTCCATATGCAGTGTTGGGAAGGTTACTTTTAAAATGTATTCCATTACAGAATACAGAATACATGCCCCAAAATGTATTCTGTAACGTATTCCGTTACGTTACTCAATGACAGTAACGTATTCTGAATACTTTGGATTACTTAATATATTATCATGCTTTTTACAACAACGTGAATGTACTATTGCTGTGTGATTTATTACTATTACTGAAGGTCCGCGACTCCGAACTGTAGTAAAGGGACCTCTGACTAATACGGCGGGGTCCCTGTCGGCTCGTAGCCGAAAAATAGCTTTACTTTGTTGTGTGGGTCAACTTTTCTTGCGAGAGACAGAGAGAGGCGTTGAAAGGCTGCTCCAACGGAACTTATTGTTTTCGGAGGAAAACACGAACACGGTGTACAGTCGAGTCTTAATAGCTTACTTACAACTGGGCTCGTCAGGCACTCTTCTTGGCTGCAGTGGTTATTATTATATTTACATGCTTCCAGCTCCCGTTTTTCCTCGATGACAACTCGTACCTTTCCACTCCCCTTTTTCTCCCTCCTCGCGCTCACAGACACATAACGTGTATGGCAGTCCATTCTCCCTGCAACACGGACTACACTGCCCATGATGCTACATTCTTTAGAGCTATGCTTGTAGCATTCTGCCTGTTAGCTTAGCACAACAACAACAACGAAAAGGCGCTCTCTCACCCAGGAAACACACAGTCGCAGAGAGAGAGAGAGAGCGTCGCCCTGTAACCATGGCAACCGTAACGCTGCCGCCTGGAACAACAGAACGTAGCTGTCAAACAAAACCCAAACAGTCCTGACCCGCGACAAAATGAAACAGGAAAGTACCGCAGTGTAATCCATTTATTTCAACAAAGTAACTGTATTCTGAATACCACCTTTTTAAACGGTAACTGTAACGGAATACAGTTACTCATATTTTGTATTTTAAATACGTAACGGCGGTACATGTATTCCGTTACTCCCCAACACTGTCCATATGTGATACCATAGCAACGAGCCAAAACACCAAAACCCTAAAACTGAAGGTGTTACTGTTGCAGCGATGTGCAGGGCTTTGACTGCACGCTTTTTTCTTTTAGTTTCCGTATCCATGCCCACATACAGCCTTTTCAGATGTTAGTAATTGGCACTTGCAGTATGTTGTTGTTTCATTATATAATTCTCTCACATGTGAGAATCTCATAGATTAACTCCTTTATTTTTTATTACCAAGTCTTAACCTCCAAACTAGGAGACAAACTGAAAACTGTGATAGAAAATATCAACATCATCCCTTTTTTTCATTTATTTTTATTTTTGTATCTATTGATTCATTTACTGAATATTTACTTTGGTAATAATAATTATTATTTTAATAATGACTTGAGGTTAACCATGAATTTCACCTGTGTCATTTACGTGTATCTGTAACAGTGTATCTGTTAACAGTTTTGTGTAAACATGCCCATGCAGGAAAACAGTGCACTGTTAGCTCGTTTTTGCAAGAGGTCAATAAAAGCAATCAAGAGAACGGGAGCAGGACTGTGCGTAAATGCAATGATAATGATTGAAGGTAAAGAATGTGTATCACTGAGAACAGATAACTGCACATGCTCTAAGGTTCATTTCTGGCACTTAGACGTAGTAACCACTGTTTGTTTTATAGATTTTTAAAAAATGACTAGAAGTTACATTTGAGCCATCAGGTTCATTCACAACACTTTGAAAAGACACCGCATGTCGTCATGAAGTGTAACTCTGAAAGGCAAGGTCTACAGGGTTGTCTAATTTAAACAGAGGCTTCTCATTAGTCGCACTAAGCAGTAGAGCTTAAAAGAGGAAACTTTATACCGTAAGCTTGTTTGGAGGAGGTGAGTGTATGCTCTCAATATCAACCTGGAGCCAACAAAGAGTAAAGCTAGTACAGTATCTCATGAGAGAGATCGAGGCTAACATTGTTCATGAGTGGGCACATAGACTGCATATTCAAATACAAGTGTGATTACTGATGGGTCTATATTTAGAATAAAGTAATAACTGACTTCCAGTAACCCTCAGAAATATGTGTGTGTGAGAGAGAGAAAGATGTAAATAATTCAATTGAAACGAGGAAGAAGGAGCCGATATGCATTTTACCTCTGAAAATAATCAGATGTTAGACATTTTACAACTCACATTACAGTGAGTAAGTGATGGGAAATGAAGTCGTCGCTCTCTGGCAGCATTTCCAGGAAAGCCCATTTTAAAAGCATGTACTCACACACACACACACACACACAGCCAACATGCACACACAGTCATTCTTTCCATATGATTGATGTGGTGGTAAATGTGATATTGAATCGTTGTTGGTCTTGATAATATCTCATCAACACTTGTGGAAGGAAGAAAGTGAGGAAATGAATTTAATCTCATGTTTTCCTTGTTTTGATAAATGGGCTGGTAGTTAGTAGTTACTCAAGGTACCTTTTTCTATACTTGTAAGCACTCTCTGTCATGGATGCATTAAAGTGTCACGAGCTAACAGAATAATCACCCAGGTGTGAAGCACTGGAAGAGTTCAACAGATTTATTGACAAGTTTTTTTTTTTGCACAGTGAAAAGGTAGTAACAAAGCTGATGGTGGGGCATTTGAGTTCCAGCAGTGGCAGTCAGGCAACACAGGCTTCCCAGGGCGTGCGCACACACACAAAACAGGGCTCATGGGAGTGGGGCTTCATAGCAAGAAAGGTTACACAGAGAGGTTATCCAAGACATAAAACACACAAACCAAACAGAATCAAGGGCGTCTCTTGGCTGGTGCAACGCTGTGACAAGCTTGAAGTAGTTAGCCTAGTCATAGACGAGCAGAAAGTGAGTCAGTAGAGCTGATTGCAGGCAGGTGCGTGCCTGAAGGAAGGCGGAGAGGCAGGAGGAGCTGCACTGAGGCAAGGTGACCACAACACGCCAAAGAGAGAAAATAAGAGAGGCAGGCCAGCGCGAGAGACTCGAGGAAGTTGGCACAAAGTTCAGTATTGTACCCAAGGATGCTTCATCATGCAGGCTTCTTCTTCTGCCTGCTTCCTCTAGGGGTCACCACAGTGGATCATCTGCCTCCATCTCACCCTGTCCCTAGCTTCCTCTTCTGGCACACAAACCCTCTGAACATCCTCCATCCTGTTCCTTTGTATTTGGCCGACAGCAGCAGAGGCAGTCACTGTTAACCTGCATGGAAATCTCATCTTTTATATTCATATATGTTGCAGTTGCAGACACTCATTTTAAACATGGTCTGTGTTTGAAAACACGAGATAACTGTATGTGCATTTTAGTCCTATAACCTGTGTGCGCACTGTTTTTTTGTTCTACTCCAGCCTTTATGATGTCAGGCTGAGTGCATATCATTAAGAGCAATCTTAAAGCTGTTACACAAAAGCTCCACCAAAGCTTTTATCTGTAAGAGAAACCCAGTTAGAACAAACTTGTCTTAAAAGGAGGATGGCCTTAAACAGACACCATGTAAAACAGCTTGTTTCAGACACAGGATGAATTGAGGAGCTGCATAAAGGCAGAGTAAAATTTAAATAAGGATTATTCTGAACTGTGAATCATGCAAAGCTACTCTGGAGCACAGGAATAAAATATCTGGAAATAAGCTTAACTTTAATTTAGCCTCTCAGATGCAAGGCTTACATATGTTTAGAAAGTAATGGTTGTGCTGCTCATTCTCGATGTGAAATATCTGAGCTCTCCAAGTTTTCTGTGACATATCAGGCATCGATTTGACAGTTTCCATATATCCTCACATGTTCACAAAGGTAAACACGGTGCTGTTCAGATCTACACATGAGCAAGATCTCCGCTTTGGTCTTACCAGTGTGTTTATGAAGATGTGAGAGTCATGCCCTGTTGAAACCTAAAGATTTATTGATTAAGGCTATGGTTGACTTGTAGGAAG